GGATAAAGTACACTGACCTCCCCCTTAAGTTTAGAGAAAACACAACGCTACAATTTTGATATAATTACATCGATCTCTCCTTTTAATATAAAGCTAAAAGAACAAAAATTAATGCAAATGATGTGAATACATGAAAATAAATAACATTTCAGTATAAAACTATAGCAACCTTTTAAGAAACCCAAATCTAATTATGCTTAACTAGTGCGGTTTACTAAAAACCAATTAAATCCCTATATGCAACATTTTCCTTATGTATGCTGTGGAGAAAACTTTACCTTTTCAATTACGAGGAAGAAATGTGAATACATGAAAGGAATCCACCAAACCACCTTGGAAGAACAGGGGTTATCAACCCACCATTAATTACCACAGCAACTGCAATATTTATACTGCTATTATAAGTAAAACTCTTCCCATCTTTACATGTAGTATTCACAACTGGGTGCTGAGCAAGTGCCATGGCCGTAGCCTTAGCTAACAATGTAGTCATAGTCACACAATGAAAATATTTATGAAAAAATCTAACAAATGTTCACTAAACACAAGAAATATAAAAATATAATAGTTTTTTTATTTTATGTTTCTTCTTAAAATATATCAGTTTTATGTTTCTACTACAGTCTGCAACAGTAAAAAGAGGGCAACGTCAAATAACATGGGTCATTTTACATTACCTTTTTTCTTTTTTTTTTCTTTTTTTTAAAGATGATTACAAATAAAGGCTCTAGACGCAAGTTGCATGAAATTCCAGTGGCTGTGGGGAAAAAAATATAAAAAAATAAAATATATATATCAGCAAAAAAAAATGGAGTTCAAGAAAAAGGAAGAAGAAATCTAGACAGAACAGAAATCTGGAATGAAAAAAAAATCTAGACAAGATCAATTTGTTCTTGGTTTGCTGCCAATGAGGAGTACAAAAATCTGGAAAAAAAAATGAAAAAAGAGGAAACTGAAATCTGGACAGAACAGAAAAAAAATCTGAATAGAACATAAATCTGGAAAAAAAATGAAAAATTATTTTCTTCGTTCTTCGTTTGCTGTAAAGTAACAAAATAAACAAAAATCTAGAAAAAAAAAATGAATCGAAGAGGAAGACCAATCTGGACAGAACAAAGAAGAAGAGAAAGACGAATCGAAGAAGAGGAAGAAAAGAAAAAAATCTGGACAGAACAAAAAATGAATCTGTCGTTCCATGCAATCACCTCATTGTCCATGCGATTGAAGCTACTCTCCATCGCGATCTTCCACTCCTCCGTACTCGAATCCTTTTTCTCTATCTCTTCCTTTACAAGTTCATGTAACCGATCTCTACACTTCATCGCCACCTACAAAGAAATCAAACACCTATTAACACTTGTTAATGAAAACCAAAATAAAAATGACTTGCTTGAAACCTTGTTAATCAGCAGATTTAACAAAATGTGTGAGAGATCAGATTAGATCGAGTTCGGATTTTGATGAGATTAGATCGATTTTCTTGTTCAATTTCGGCTCTACAATTTGCGAAAGAGATCAAGTTCGGGTTCGATGAAGAAAAGCTAGGGCAAGAACAAATCTAACAAAATGCAAGAGAGATCAGATCAGATCAGATCGAGTATGGATTTCGATCAGATTAGATCGACTTTCTTGTTCGATTTCAGATCTACGATTTGTGAGAGACACACACACACACACACACACACACACACACACACACACACACACACACACACACACACACACACACACACACACACACACACACACAATTAAGAAGATTAAAGGAGTTCTTGCTTGATTGAGCTTCTAGACTTGTGATTGGGGGACCCAAGGTAGAAAATTCAACCTTTTATTGATGTATTTAAGATTGTTCTTGCATGGTTCATGGTCCATTTGAGGGTGGAGTCTAGAATTGGTGCTAAATTGTTGAATGGAAGCTTAATCTTTGCATGCATGTTTATATCCTTGCATTTGGATGTTGATTTCATGGCAATTGGTGCATGCATGTTCATGTTTATGTTAAAGTCCATGATTTCATCATGTTTTGGAAAGAATTGGCTCAATTGAGCTAGCTTTTAAAGCTTAAAAGTGGTTTAAAGTCTTGCATGTTACACATTCATTATGTTCTTGAAGTATTGTTTGAAATTGGGTTTAATTCCCTCACCTTTGAGCCTTGATTTTATAAATTGAGCTTTGAATCATGTCATACTATGTATTTACAAGTGTTTTCCAGGAAATGGGCCCAAAGGAATCGAATTTGTTACATTTGAAGTTGAATTTGAGCTTGAGGTTCAAATCTGGGAATTCCAGATTTTGAACTCCCGCTCGAGCAGGGTGACTGGCGCTCAAGCATGAAATTCGTTCTCCCAGCACTTTACACTGTTTTGAAGTCCGCTCGAGCGGGACCTTGTGTCTTACGCTCGAGCGGGTGTCGAGCGCCCAATCGAGCGTGATTTTCACACGTCCAGCACTTTTGACTGTTTTGCAGTACGCTCGAGCGGGTAATGCTACACTCAAGCGGGAACCTTTGTCTGCATGTCCGCTCGAGCGGAGTAACCTACGCTCGAGCGTGAACCCTGTTTTCTGAAAATTCTGAAAATGCTTTTCAAGTGCATCTTTGCATCCTTATTTCATCCTAGGCATTCCTAGGCCTAGTTTAAGGTATCTTATGAGGATATTGATGTAGGACCACACCGAGTCGAGTTAGGGATTAAGTTATTATTTTCCCAACTGTATAGCTTAGTGTGTGTTCACTCTGTAACTGTGTAGGGTTGGCATCCGGAGACGCGCTCTAGCTTATTTGTAGCCCAAAACTCTGTAAGTAACAACTGTGTAAAGATATGTTCAAATATGATTATCTTCTGAACAATTGAACTGTACTGTTTTCTGAAACGATACTGTTACTAAATGAATAATGTCTTAATTGTGAACTGTATTGTGGCATCCTTAGCAACCTACTATTACTGTGTTGTACTGCTACTGTCACAGAGATCTCTGTCGGTTCCCATGTTGGAACCACTACTGCTTACTGATATGATGGCCATCAACTGATTGTTCGGTCCGATAAGACCTACTGTACTGTTTTGCTACTGGATGTACCACATATGACTGTAATGACTGAATAACTGATATACTGATTGAAGTGACTGTTTTCAATACTGTAAGGACATTCATTCTTAACCTTTTTACGCATTATGTTATTCACTGTGCTTTAGCTCACTGCTCATATATATATGTAGGTGTACAGGCACCGGACCGTTGCTAGAAGCGTCGAGGTAAACTCCAGTTTGTCAAGCCAACCTATGTGCCTCACTGCGAGGTTCCGAGTCCGTACAAGCTAAGGCTACGGGGTGATTTAGTTTCCCCCTTTCTGTCCTGTTTTCGTATAGACTGTATACACTTGTAGATGCGCCCTCGGGCCTCACTACAGTTCGGACTCAATTTGTGTCACGGTCCTGTATCTAATCTCGCAGAGTGCAATGCAAGACCGATGACTCATCAAAGAGTCCAAATCCGACAAATCGTTTTGGAAAATAGATTTTTTAGAAAGAAGTGCAAAACATGGACTGCTTTGCCAGATACAGAGTCGCCACCTAAATATTTATTTTGGGAGAATTTAGGAAACCCTGACTCGTTGCCTAAGGCCACATGTCCGTCATCACCAAAGTTGCCTCGGCTCGGGAACTTGGGTACGATTGGGGAAGGTCACTTCGTGAGCACCCCCGCTCGCCCGATCAAAGATCGGCCTCTACTAACCATGATATATATTTTTGAAAACTTTGTGTGTCCTTAATCCGGTTATTAGCCTAGGTTACTATGTGATGCACACAGCATACAAGTATAGACTGGATCGCCTGAATTGGAATAAAACATTTCATGTTTGTTTATTTGAAAATGGTTTGATGATGCTACCCGCAAGTAGGCTAAGACGTGGATTTGCCACCCTCGGGTGGGCTTAGAAAAACATGATTTTGCCACTATCTAGTGGGAGATTGACCCATCCAAACATCCTCCCAAAATCGAACAAGTTTCCCATTGCCCACCCTTACAGAAAGATGACGAGACCAACATGTGAAAATTTAAGAAATTAACTAGTAGTTAATTACAACCAACCAATTAAGTTAGTAGTACAAATCTTACTTGAATGCTAGCATGGCAAGTGACAAGTTATATTTAGGCCAAGTTTGGCATAACCTAAATAATACAAAAAGTCAAAAAGTCACTATCCTATTTAAGTCACATCATCTTATTTAAATCACATCACCTCTCTAACACGTCACATCAAACCCAATCCAAACCCAACCCATATAAGCCAATAAGTCAAAAAGTACACTTTTTTAGAACATCTCAAACCAACCCTTAGTTTATATTTATTTTTGTCAAATTAATTTATATTTTATTAAATTGACAACTTCGCTCTTGAAATTGAGCAATGATATCTTCAATTGTCCTTATTTAGAATAAGATTTAAAATTTAGGATTAAATGTGTCACAATTGAAAAGTCAGTGATTAAAGTGATACAAGCCCCAAACTATGGGGACTATTAGTGTAATTCACCCTAATTTTAAAAATAGCATATTTTTATAATTATTAAAAAAAATTAAAAATACTCATGGTTCCTTTTTATTTTCATCTTTTTTGGGTTACCCATTTTCATTATATTGTTCTATGTTTTTCTATGAGTTTTTAATTATTGTTTACATTTATTTGTTTAATTTTTATATTATATATTATTACAAGTTATAAAAAACATTTTTTTTTTAATAAAACTAACCTATCATATTTGGATTTTTTTTTTCTTGTATTAACATATACATAATATTTATACCCACACGTACGTGTTTCCTAAATTGATGGAAATTGCAACCAATATATTTTGCCACCCATTTTGGAAGAATCAATTTATCTTATAAATCAAAAATGTCTTTGTCATTCAATGAAAGGCTACTGACCAGTCAAATTGGTGTGTTAATATGAAAAATGATATACAAGTCTATTTTTTAAATTGGTGTGTTAATAAGATGATTGGTTGACATGGCATACACGATGCTCTAACATGCAATCTAGCATACGCAATGCTATGGACCGAAATGACATACACAATGCACGATGGACTTACATCATCATGAATGGACCTCAGCCACACTCACATCAGTGGCCATGAGATGGAAAAGAGACAACCGAAATGCATGCACGTGTGCACGCACACTGAGGACCGAACCTAAGGCATAAAATGCCACTCTACCAAGGCATGGCAAAGGATGAAAGATGGAATACAAACATGTAATTTCCAGCACTGAAACATGATGCTAAATGGTCCCGAAACATGGAAATATGGCACCCGATGCATGAAATAAGCCACGAAACTCGAAGCTAGGCACATGTATTGAATTATAAATATGCAAAGCTAGCATTATTTGGCCATGAAGTACAAAGACAGAGCCAAGGCAGTCCCAAAACATACACATTTCTAGTTTAAAGCATGGCCAAAAAGTGCTAACATGATGGACTAAAATAGCATGCAAATTTGGCTAGCAAGCATGGTTTACATGGCATGTATATGAAGCGTATGAGAACTCATCAAACTAGCCAAAAACAGTGAATAAAACATGACAAAATATGCCCAAATAACCACTGAAATGCAGCCAACATGTGCGAAAATGATATGCTCCTTTGAAAGGGCATGCAAGGGGTTACTCAACACATATATGATGGACACTTAGCATAGAAAAACCAACTCTGAAAATCAAATATGACAGCCCTAAAACTCACCAAAAAGGGCCTGAAATTGATCAATAAAGCATACAATGAAAGGTCCTCTTGAAAGGCCTTGAGGAGGGTTGTTCCACACATGCATGAGGGACATAAAATATGGCCAAAAGGGCCTTGGACAGAGCTAATGCAGACCTCAAAACCCTCAGAATGAGGCCTGGAACATGACTTCAAAGCATGCAAAAAGGGGACCCTTTGGAAGGCCAACAAGACCACCAAACAAGACAAGGGGAGAAGGGGTCACTCCCCTCTGATTTTGGCTCTCAAAAATGTATCTAAGCCACTAAAAATCCACTGGATTTTAGTGGCTAAGAGGCCAAACCATGGCCAATGCAAGTGCTCTAATGCATAGCCCTAATCATGAAGAGATGAAGCATGCATAGGGGGAAGCTGACCCCAAACAGAAAAGAGACCTTAACCAAACTTGAAGAGGAGATTAAAACAAGATCTTTTTCAGTTTATGACAAATCTCAAAAATGTTCACAAGTAAGGCTAAAATATGATGCAAAAAAAGCCCTAAAAGAGAGATAGAAGGTAAGAGGAAGTAGATGATCTCAAACAGCAAAGTGCCCTTAAACAAAGTTGAAGAGGAGCTCAAAATAAGACACTTTACAGTTTAGGTCGAGGCCCAAAAATGCTTGCAAATGGGGCTAAGTAATGAAGCAAAATATGGCTAGAAAAGGGGAAATGAAGACTTACTCTTGTAGAGCCGACCTCCAGCAGCTTCTAGACCAAGTTGGTGAGCTTTCAATCTCTGTAAATGACCTCCAAGGTGCTGGAATGAATGAGGGAAGTGGTAGGCTAAGAGGTGTAGGGTAAAATGGCCAAGAATATGAGTGTTTTGAGGCTTGAAGTATAGAGATAGAGAGTTGTATGTATATTTCCAGCCAAAAGCTTCTAACCCTTGAAAATGGAGGTGAAGGGTTGATTATATA